AGAGATTAAAGTGCTTTAAATATTTTTCTAGCTCTTTGACTTTTAATTTTTGGATTGCCCCAGTCTTAACGAGAACGTCCCAATCATATTCCTCAAAATGCTTCTGCTCCCTCTTCTGACGCTGCTCTTTCCTGTCATTTTTCTCGGATATTCTTTGTTCTTGCTAAAGTAGCTAGATGAAGTAAATAATCCTCTACTAATTGCTTTTCCACAATATATTTGCTAGAAAACAGCGATATTGCTTCTTCGTCACCAAGTTTTAATGTGCCATCCTTGAATGCTGCTTTGATATTGTGCCTAGGTTGCCAGTCATCTGGAGGGCGAGATTCATCATCATGATCGTTATTACCATAAGAGTCGAACACATCTTTGTAGTGAAACGTAGGTAATTTGGATGTGTCTGGCACTGGTCTAGGAATGCGACGCATTGTAGGACTAATCCATTCTCTTTCCTTGCATTCTTTACATGGTTCTCCATCAGAAGAAGTTTTTGAACAGTCACCTTGCTGGTAATGTTTGTCGCGAAAATCAATTATTTTCTTAATGTACGCAGCACCTGGTACTTCCTTTTTCTGCTCATTACTCTTTGAGGAATATTCTTTTAAAAAAGCTTGGTTGAAAAATAACCCCTCTTCTTCAAACAGGCAAAGAAAATTAAGCAGAACAAGAAAAAAGCAGAAAGAAGAAAGGCAAAGCGGCTAGAAAACTCCATATTATTTTTGAAGTCAAAACTTATTAAAGCAAATTCATTAGACAAGTTAGATGACTGCATCACAAAGGATATGCTGCAGATTGAACAATTAGAGACATTAAGAAGAGATAGACACCAAAAAGCATTAACTAAGTTACTTGAAAATTATAATTGGCATGCTGATGCAAGGAAGTGTGTTATGGTTAAGCTTACTGAGTGGGCTTTGATAGACAAAGAAAAAGAGTCAAAAGAAGAAGAGGAGGAAGAAGAAGATGAGCTTGAGGAAGACAAGGAGGAGCTTGAGGAAGAGGAGGATGAGCTTGAGGAAGAAGAAGGAGGAGCTTGAGGAAGAGGAGGAGGATCTTGGAGAAGAGAAAGGAGTTTTATTTGTTACTAAACCAATTCATTTCATTTGTTATTTAAAAGAACTGTTGATTGAGCTATTTAAATAGAAGAATGTTGATGAAAACTTGTACTTTAGTTAATATTTAATATTTAAGGGAAGGAGGGGGGCTATGTAGATTTCCAATAACCTCYGTAGGGGTCACGAGCTTTTTTCATTACACTATATTGGGGCTGGGAATTTTTTTTTTATTATTTCAAAATATTGCCAGCCCCCTCCCTGGCATAAATAATGAATGGTCCCTAATAATAATAATAATAATTTATTTATTTATTTTCAGAAGATGAATCTACAGAACAGCAGCCTGGTGGGTAACATAACTATAATATAGCACAGTAGAGCAGAGCAAAGGTTCCCATAAAAATTCTTGGGAGACTACTGGTGCCCCCTCGGCTTCCCTGTTATGCCGTCCCTGATATTACGTAAAACAATGGTTGTAGCCTTATTAGCATTTTCTACTAAGGGAATACTAATGCCTTTCTTCACATAATATAGAGCTCTGAAAGTTCCTCGAGCTGACTGTTCTTGTGACTGTCAGAGAATGAAAACGGGCTTCAATGAAATTAATTAAACCACTCGCATTTATTCTTTGACCCTGACTTATATGTATGTTCCTAATATTAGTCTCACCTCAGTGTTTTGATTTCCGATTGAGCTTCTCAGAATTAAAGATTTCTTCATTATCATTTAGCAGAAAAATATCCAAGTTAAATTGTCACGTAATCTTGAACCTTTTTTCTGTCATGCAATGGCGGCAATACAAATACTCCTCCAAAATGCATTGAGGGTAATTACGGGAAGTAAGCTAAGGACACATTAAAAAATATAATTTTAGAATAATAAATTTCTTTCTATAATCGCAATTTATTTATTTATTTGTTTATTTGTTTGTTTGTTTGTTTATTTTTCTGATTTCTTTTCTTTTGTCATTTTATTTCTAATCAGGAAATGTTCATTTTCAGTGTAAATACTATAGTGCATACTCATGTTTTCTAGTGTGGTACAATACAATACAATGCAATCTTAATGTTTCACTTGCGCTTCAATCGATTTGTTTTGTTTTATCTAGGAGAAGATATCGTTTCGGACTCTGAAGAATCAGACGTATTCGAAACATCGGCAAGTATTCGAGAAATCGTAAGCATTTGGATTTGACTTTTCGAGATCTGTTTGAATCATCATTGCCAGTCTGTCTTATTCAAATACCAGTTCCACTTCCATTCCCGGTGAATGAAATCCTATTTCCCAGCCTGTAACAAAAGCAAATCTCAGCTCTCAAAACTGCACAATGAAATAGGTCGCAACTGCTGAAAATAACGGAAAGTAGGAGAGCAAATGAATGAATTCAAATTGATTGGAAAATCAGGTTTGCAAATCAAGCCCAAACTCAAGTCTTCCTTTTGTTTTTCGATATCATTTGCCGACTAACTTTTTGCATTATAGTATTGTAATTGTAATTACTTTTGTTATTGTTGTTATCAGCCAACGAAACCTAATCCTGTTAACAAAGGTAAGTTATTAAACATTAGGCCTTTATTTTAAGCATGTCTAGTGAAAGATCCATTTTAACATGAACGCAACACATGCTAAAACGCGAACATTCTGTCCTTGATTCTGCTGGAGCTTTTTCTTGAGCAATGAATGTTTCCTTTTCCACTTCATAGTTTTTGGCAAGAACAAGAACAGTCGCAAATGGTTATTGGATTCTAGCTCTGTTAGTAGAATCTTACTTTCTAGCTTATTTTACGAGTTATGGGAAAAGAAATTGATAACTGTACGGCAGTTTCAGCTTCTCTTACAATGGAACGAGACTACAGGGGAACCGAAATTATGCACTCAACAATTTTTTTCATTATTCGGAAAATACGGGACGAAGATGAAAACACAGAAGATGCAAAAGAAATGCAAGAAGAGTCAAAGAGCGATGCAGGAGAAAATGAAGAAGGGATGGAACACAACAACGAGGAATTTGAAGGTGCAAATTTTAGATATAAGTAAAAACGGGGATACAGAGAGGATAATTAGCAAAATTGATCACTCTATCGTCATGCAGTAATTCATTAATACCCTACCTACATAGGGCTTGAAATAATTTTTGCTCGGACAATCCAAAAATGTGGCCGGACAACACTTTTTAAAAAAACCTCTGTTGAGTATGACTCAAGGGCGTGTGCCGGGGAGGGTTCCAGGGGTTCCGGAACCCCCCTTCATGGCAAACAAACTCTTTGAGAAATGAACCTTTATTTGGCAAGTTAGTGATAGTTCAACAGCTTGTTCCACTTAATGCAAAACCAAATCTCCTGTATAATTTTGCAGTCGATCGGTCTCCATCACCTAGTTTTCAAGGTTCCAGATTTCTTATGGCGATTAACTGCCATAAGAAATCTGGAAACCCCCCTCAAGAAACGTCTGGACACGCCCCTGTGACTACAATGCATTTGGCCAGAAAAATATTTTTTTTACCTGAGAATGTCCGTTGATTGGCCATTACTTCAAACCCTGTACATTAAATCCTCGTTTCTGATTGACAAACTTTGAATATTTTCTTAATACTTAAGGTCTGCATGCAACATAGCGTGCAACAAACTGCATCGTGTGAACATGGCTGCTAAATTGCTCGCAATGCTTGCAACATTTTGACTTTTTCATGCAATAATGTTGCTCCAAATTTATTAACGTGTTGGTGTAGTAAGTGTGGGTTAAAGAAAGACGATTTAGGTGCGTGATTTTTTACACCTCGTGTGTGAGCCTTATTGATATTTGTTGCACGCAATGTTGCACGCAATGTTGGACCGTGTGTCCGTGCCTTTAGCCTGCAAGGCGGCTGCATTCGCAGGCTACTTTGGGGACTTACGTAACTATTCACCAGCCACTGTTGCTAGGGGTTAAGTTTAAAAAGCATGCGTTTGGTTAGAGTGACTCAAAAATGATCAAAATTATAGCTGAACAGGATTGGAACAAAGTAAGGTACCATTTTTAAAAAATTCAAATTTTAATATATTTTGTATTTCTCAACTACAGTAAAATTCGTACTTTTACTTTGTTCCAATCCTTGTCAGCTACAATTTTGATCATTTTTTGAGTTAATCTATCCAAACGCATGATTGCTTCCAAATGCTCAAACAATTAATCAAAATCAAAATCATATACAAATATTTTACCATTCAATTATTCTCCTGATGTAGAATCAGTAGTGAAAACATTGAATTAGGGGTTATATTCACTTAAACATCTTATTTGCATGCTGCAGCCGTAATAACTGCTATTAATTAATTGCACATATCCGGGAGCATGTATACTTCATTAAGGCTCAGTTCAGACGTGGAACGTTTGCCGCATCGAATCGAAATCTACTATATAAAACATCAGCTGTCTTTTGCTTAGCGCCAGAAATCGGAATATGTTAGTTTGGTCTACATACTTCTACTACTTTCAAGGAAAACAGCGCTCGGATGCAAAGCCAATTAGATTCAACGCGTCAAAAGTTTGACGTCTGAACTGGGCCTCAGACACTCATATTTTTTTGTAGATGTGATTTTGAAAAGGAGTGAAAGTGCCATGCACGTTTTTTCTCGAAGAATTAATAAAAAATACAGGATAGTAGCATTTCCTTCCTTCCTTCATTAATTTATTTGTTCATTCGTTTGGGTTTTTATCCATTTCTCTGCAGTTGTCTTTGTAAAGATCGTAAAAAAGAGTCGGTTTGACACCAGGGTGTACGATAAAAGGCATGCTTGCTTCTACTGTAACGGAATGTATCCCAAAATGGCCCGGCACTATTTGACCGTCCACAAAAACAAGGAGGAGGTGGAGAAGATCAAAAGCCTGCCCGAAAAAGGAAAAGAAAGACATCATCATTTGGAAAAGTTGAGGCTGAAAGGCAACTACTACCACAATGTTAAAGTGCTTGAGCAAAAATCGGGTCAGCTCATTGTAGTTCGAAGGCCAGGCAAAGATGAAAAATGCCAGTACAGTGACTTTCTGCCGTGCCCACACTGTCTAGGATTTTTTCGAAAGAAAGATTTATGGAAACACTCCCATAACTGTCCGTTTAAGCCTGCAGCACATTTAACTAAAAATGGTAAGGACGAAGACCACATAAAAATCCAGGAACAGAGCAAGATTTTGCTCTTGTCCAATTTTTCAGATAAGAAAGATCTTGTCGACGTTTTTTCGAAAATGAAGAGCGACGAAATCACTATCAACGCGAGAAATGATCCTCTCATAAAGGAATATGGTTCGATCTTGCTTGACCGTATTGGGTCTGAAAGAAGGAATGAAGTCTCTCAAGGAATGCGTCAGTTGGCTCGTCTATTGATGCAGCTAAACTTAAACAAAGTCAAAACCAGCAGTCCACTCTCTGGGTATTTAACACCAGAGTTCTTTGATGATGTCGTGACGGCCACTGAACAAATTTGTGCATCTGTACCATCACTAGGCTTAAAACTCGGACCGCAGATCAAGAAATGCCTTTACATTATCAGAGGGCAAGCCCTCCGGAGAAAAGATGAATGCCTCTTACAAGATGCAGAGAACATGATCAAGTTAATGGAGGCAGAATGGGAAGACAAGATTTCACACCATTCCCTAGAAACACTGTCAAAGGCAAAATTCAATAAGGTTCAACTGCTTCCAATAACTGAAGACCTCGTAAAGTTGAGAAACAGGATGACCAAGGACATAGAAGAACTTACAGAAAAGCTGCAAAAAGAACCAGCCTTACAAACTTGGAGTGCGTTAGCAGAAGTAGTCCTGTGTAGTCTGATCATTTTCAACAAAAGAAGGGGAGGGGAAACTTCTAAAATTCCACTGGAATCGTATAGGAATCGCCCCAAGTGGGAAAGCCAGGTCCTAGAAGTTATAACTTCCACATTAAAGCCAATTGAAAAGCAGCTTCTTAAAAGGTAAAAGAATTTCATATACGTTTTCATTTGTTTTTATTTGTTTGCATTTTTCGAGAGAAATTTAAGAAGCCATCGGCGGTTTGTCACAGCTTTCATCAGGATAAAACGTCTGCTTAAAAATTTCAAATATAACTTGAACTTGAACAAATTGCCCGCATTTTCCGAAACAACCTGGATACAATGTAAAAGTCATTACACTGCTACTTGTGTGTTACCGCCGAATAATTTTACGAGTGAGTGAAAGCGGCGTTTTTTTTTTTGTTTGTTTTTTTTAGTTGTTTTTTTTCCCAGCTCTCCCATCCCTGCAGCTCACGAGTAAAATTGTCCGGCTGTAATCGAAGGTTTTGCCCTAGAAAAAAGGTTACACAAAAAAAATACTTGTGGGGACGGTATGTAAAAAAAGTTACACAATTTTGACTAGTGGGGAGCAGCAGTTAGGGGGACTCGCGGAGGGGGTACCGGGGGAGCCGGGAATTACCCCCGCCAAGTACCATTGGTCCGCAGCGGGTATTACCCGTAAGGTCGCTATGTGTATTGCCTGTGTAATTCGAATCGAAAAGCTCTCTACGGGTTTTACTGGTGCCCCGCATTACTAAGTTAAAATATTTGTCTTATATACGATGCACGAATGTAAAGAGTTTGTTTATGACTTTTGTGTTAGAAGAGTGTATTTTTTTCCCTTGTTTCGGCAACCATTTTCGGCTACCTTTCCTACTCTGGTAGACCCATTTTTCCGTCCACTGCGCTGGGAACAAGCCCCAGAAATGTCCGTTCCCATTTCCAAGGGATGCGAACCACCGCTCTTGGTAGCAAGGGAGCGGCAACACACTGCTACCTTTGCATGGAGAAGCGCCGACGTGGATAGAGAGGAACGATTCGTTCCCCTTGCCAGTAGCCCAAAACCTTCGACCCCTATATATAGAAGATGGAAGAGCAAAAGAGTATTTCGACAACATCGCAAGAGATGGGCATACGAGCAAAAAGTAGGCTACTAGCGCATTTGCTGTTGGACAATGCCTGCGACGGGAACCTATTGCCCGACATATCCAAATGCAACTATTTGCGCGGGAACGAAGGTACTACGAGTTTGCAGCCGCTATCCGGATTGCCACCTTTCGTAGACGACGTGTTTGTCTATGGTTTTGTAGCAGAAGAGAATTTGTATGGGAAGAAACTACTTTGCAGGAACGCAAAGTCAATAGTGTCGAGAATATCCATTGCGGCCGCGGAGACGTTTGGGACGTTCCTGCCAACCAGCATAGTACACACATGCAGACAGGGAAACATAGTAGACCGCGTTTCCAGCATGGATTCCGGGGGCAAGTGGTCCAGTTTGTATGGGACGGAGCCCGCTGCTGTCTTCGTAGCCAAAGTAGATACCTCCGAATTGCCTATAGAAGTCGTAGACGAGAAGATTTCCACGTTTGCCAGACTGCTACGCGCGCACGGATATGGAATATACTCCATAGACTACACGCAGGATTTCTCCGGAACTTTGGATAGAGTCGCATTGGTACGTCGTTTGCGGGAGTTGGGATACGTGTCGCAGCATAGTGGCGGTTGGCGCAACGGTACGATTTTGGAGAACACGCATGCTGTGGGAGAACATGTTTGCACTTGGATGGAAGACGGCAAACGGACTAAGATATACAACAAAATAGTATCCAACTTCGAAGCCGGAGAAGTACAAAATCCAGTAGGCGCAAAGTTGGCAGAGTACGTGGATTGTCCAAACGAACACCTGCGTAGGACATTCCTGCACCCAGATGTGCAGGCGAGAGGATGTACCAGAGTGGAAATATCCATCTACGGCAAAGACTTCTCCAAATCCCACACCAACGCTATTGCGGAGACGCTAGAACCTTTGCAGGACATATTCGTAGTACAGCCGCCAAAGA